GTCACGAATTTGCTTGACAAAATATGTACATATGTTATGAACTAATTTATTTTTTCATAACTATTTTAATACCTTCCACTTAAAGTTTACTTTTATGGAAGTATTTTTTAATTCTGATCTGGTAACATTTCAACTAGGCATGTGCCAGCATGTTTTTATTTGAATTTCGCGTTGTTTTGAATTAGTTAAACATCTTACCTAATTTTGAAATACTGTGTTGAGTCTTTATCATATTTATTCCCTTACGATTTTTGCTAAAACGTTCCTAGTGTTATGTAAATGTAATGTTTTCTTTTCTTTTCTGATTGTTAATAGAATCGCCTGATAAGTGATTAGCGTCACAAACAGACACAGACACACACAAAAGTGCTTTAAGCAAAAATGTATATTTGAGATTAATATTTACTCAAAATATATACTTAGTCGGGTCATAAGTTCTGTCAAAACCTTATATTTTTAATTTTCGATTACTGGCCAGAAATTCTTCGACTTATTTTAAAAATAGAACTTTCGCGCTTGTAGAAAATAAAAAAGAAATTATTTTTTATTCATTTTTAAATATGGAGTGGTCGAATAAAGAAGACAGAATCGCGGTTATCGCGTTGCACCGCTGTGGTTACGCGCCAAAAGACATTTTCAATATTCTTCAAAATTTGAAAATAACGTTACGGTTTGTTTATCGTACTATCAAACGATACACCGAAGAGTCAAGCTTCGAAGATCGTAAGAGAAGCGGCCGACCTCGCACAGTTCGGACACATAAGGTCATCAAAGCAGTGAAGGCGCGAATCGAACGAAATCCCGTACGTAAACAAAAAATCCTAGCTCTGCAGAAGGGGCTAAGCAGAACCACTGTTAAAAGAGTACTAAATGAAGACCTGGGACTACGAGCTTATCGTAAAAAGACAGGACATTTTTTGAACGAGCGTTTAAAAAAAATTAGGCTAGACAGATCCCGCGCTTTGCTACGACGGTACGCGGGAAAAAAATACCGCGAAATTCTTTTTTCGGATGAAAAAATTTTTACTATTGAAGAAAGTTTTAACAAACAAAATGATAAGGTGTATGCCCTCAGCAGTGAAGAAGCAAGCGCGCGTATTGCGAGGGTCCAGCGTGGGCATTACCCTTCCTCATTCATGGTTTGGCTTGGAGTCTCATATTCAGGCGTAACTGAGGTGTTTTTCTGTGAAAAAGGTGTGAGAACTAGTGCTGAAGTTTATCAAAATACTGTCCTAACAAACATAGTGGAACCTCTTTCTCAGACAATGTTCAGGAACAGGCATTGGATATTCCAACAGGACTCTGCACCGGCTCATAAGGCACGAAGTACGCAAGACTGGTTGATCGCTCGTGGAATTGACTTCATCCGGCATGAAGACTGGCCCTCTTCTAGTCCAGATTTAAACCCACTGGACTACAAGATATGGCAATATTTGGAGGAAAAAGTCTGTGCTAAACCTCACCCGAATTTGGAGTCTCTCCGAGCATCTCTGGTTAAAGCAGCGGCAGACATAGATATGAATGTGGTGCGTGCAGCGATCGATGACTGGCCGCGTAGATTAAGGGCATGTGTTCAAAATGGGGGAGGGCATTTCGAATAATGTAAATAAAATTATATTGTACATTTAATGACCTTTCATTTCATATATAATTTTTAAATAATTGTCAAAAGGCGTATAAGTTATTACATCAAAAGTTTGTGACAGAACTTATGACCCGACTAAGTATATATATGTATATACGTTGGTATATACATATATATATAATTAAACATTCCATTTAAAAATCCGTGTCAATTTAAAGACCGAAAAAATACGATAATCGACATACATATATTACATAACATTACAGCACGTTATTTAATTACTGCTAAACTAATTACTTAATAAATTTTACGTTTACCTAATGCTTAATTGATCAAATTTATAGTTACTGTGTAATGCATATTATAAAATTAACGAAAAATAACGTATTTTTACGTAATGTTATCTAAATAATACTTTAATATTGATTCAAAAACTTTCATAAAGTTGATTGTTACAAAAAATAGCCTGATCTCTGAATCTTTCTAGGTGTATGAATTATCACTTCCTACAGTATACCTGTGTAAATATCATCATCATCAGCCTATAAGTGCTTACTGCTGAGCAAAGGCCTCTTCTCACACGGAGAAGGTTTGAGCATTAATCGCCACGCTTGCTCAATGCGGGTTGGCGATTTCAAACTTATAATTAGAAATTATAAGTCCAGGTTTCCTCACGATGTTTACCTTCACCGTATGTCAGTGGTGTCTAAACAATCATAGAAAGTACATATAACTCGGAAAAAGTCACATTGGTACTTGCCAGGTTTCGAACCCGCACCCTCATGCATAAGAAGCGGGCTTGTGTAAATATACAATAAATTATTATACACTAGCTTCTGCCAGCGACTTCGTCCGCGTGGAATAGTGAATTCTGGCAGGTTTTGGTATTACCTACATAGTTTCCGATCTTGTAAGATTTTCGGGAAGTTCTCCTTTTGTCATATACTGTTGTTGGATATTTTGTAGATAAATTTTATGTTGAACATTCCCGTGATACATGATTTTTATGTAACTTTAACTATTAAGGACAACAAACATACCACGAGACAGATAGACAGACAAAATTTTTCCAGATTACATTTTTGGCATCAGTATCGATCACTTATCACCCCCTTATAAGTATTTATAAAATATATTTCATGCACAAAATTGACCTCTCTACAGATTTATTATAAATATCGATATTATTATGTCTAATTGCTTAGTTGCTATAAAAGCCGTGTGAGTGAGGTTGCCAGAGGCCCAGTCCTTCCCCCATCCTCAATCCCCAAATTCCCTATACTTACTAAATCCCTAATTACACACAAAATTAACGCACTTCTTTTTTATTTTCTACTAGAAATTTAGAGGCAAAGGTCACAATACGACCATGCCAGCTCCATCGTAACCTAATAGGTACAAGATTTGCACTTTAGGTACAAACTTCAAAACCTTGTATACTATTTTGTAAAGTAAAATAGCTGCATTCAAAACAGACTCTGATAATATATGATATGATAATATATTTTTCCTTTACCTTTCCTTTTTCAAAAAAACGTTGCCCCACATTAGGATTTTCTCCTGTGTCGTGGGTGCTGTTACAAACATACATTTTCACATACACAAGACACCCAGACCCGGAACAACAATTTGTGGATCACACAAAGAGTTGTTCTGTGCGGGAATCGAACCCACGACACGTTGCACGGCAGCCAGTTGCCCAGCCACCGCACCAACCGTGCAGTCATATACGCAGTCACGACACAGGCGAAAGTCCTAATGGGGGCAACGTTTTAAAAAAAAAAAAGGAAATTCAGCACCTCTCTAGCAACGCACTTGTGGTATCTCTCCCCCCTCTACTGCTTTGGTATCACTAGTGTTTATGGGCGGCGTCGATTACTTGCCATCAAATAAACTAATATCCATCTGACATACATTATGCGAACAAAGTGATCAGAGCCCTTTCGCTTTTGCTTAGAAAGGCTTAGAAAGACTAAAATTAAAACATAAATAATTACTTGATAAATGTCACGACATTCTTTTGGACTTACCTATATAGGTACATACTTTGTTATGTATATGTCAGTATGTCTGTGACCGCTGTAGTGAACGTAATGTCATGCAAAGCCAAAGGTTGAACTACCATTCGCCAACCTACGTTGCCTATGTCCAATCTGAATGTAATTTTAGCCCACCTAAATGCGCCTATATTATCATTCATTTGGATTACTTTAGTCTATTATTAGATAGAGTTAATACTACATAACTTGAAACGCTGCGTGTTAAATATTTGATTATAATATAAGAATTTAGTTTATAATATTATAATTTAGAATTTCAGTGTGGGAGAGCCATGCTTCGGCACGAATGGATCGGCTCGACCGGAGTGATACCACGGCATTACAGAAAACCGTCGTGAAACAACACAGCGTTCTGTTACGCGCTCTGTGAGTGAGGTTACTAGAGGCCAAAGAGAATAATCGTCATTACTGGAGGCCCAATCCTTCCCCTCCCCAAATTCCTCCCCAATCCCTAAATCTCCGAATCCCTAGTCCCCAAAGTGTCGGCAACTTACTCGTAACTCCTCTGCTGAGGGTGTTCATGGGCGGCGCTGATTGCTTACCATCGGGTAATCCGTCTGCTCGTTTGCCGAACTATTACATAAAAAAACATTGTGTTTGATACTTACATTCAGTAGTGTTCGAAACAACGCTAATGAACACCTCATGATTAGACGTCAAAGCATTTTATAAGTTCCGAATAGCTTCGTGATCGCTGCATCAGAATTCAAAATCGTATAACTAATTGCGCTTTTTTCATGACTATTCTCTACTGAAAATCTTTCATATTAATATTAAAATGATGAATGAATGATCTTTTTATTTTTTAATCCTCATACATGGAGTTTTGAAACGTCGGCTTACTCCCCATCCATGTAAATTGGTGCTAGTTCCAAAGAGTACATTCATATGGAAAAGAAAATACGTATTAAGAATTCTGTTTTCAAATTTATTTATTTTTTTACAATCTCGAATTTGTACAAAGGTTTTAATACTGCTAACGATTGGTTAACTTTATTCATTGCGAAAAAAAAGGTTTAGTTCGCCTACACGTTTCTTTGTGTTCGTCTAGACTAGACTCAGATAGGGATTACTCAACTGTTCAGAGAAAGACATTATCTTAAAACAATGAAGCAAGTGTGCTATGAATATTGAAGCCCCTTTTACGATTGAAACAACAAGGCTTATGTATTGAGCGACTAAAATTGCAAATAATGAAAATCTATATATTGTAAACGAAGCAAGCCGCTGCATACAAGAAATCTCAATAATGCTTAAGTACCAATTTGATCCACATAATTAATAAAAAGAGAAGATTATCTTCTCCTGAAAGGTTTTTTCTGAAAGTCAATAAAATGTTAAGAACATAAAACACAATGGCTATATTAAAATTGTTAGTAAGTACGTATAGTGTACATTATAGAAGATACGTAAGTTTAGAGCTGTCGTAGATTATTGTGGCACAAACATTGCAGGATCTAAGATAAAGAAGTCACACAAGTTTGGAGATTTCTCTCAGCATACTTCATAGTGCTAGATAACAAAAAAATATTGATATTAGAGGTCCAGTCAACCTTTGGAAAAACTAGGAAAATCTACGAAAAATACTTAGGTAAAACGGTATACAACGATAAACTGAAAACTATAAAATTAATTTCATGGCATTTTCAGGACGAAGCAGATTTCTGTTGAAATGAAATGAAAAAAAATTAGGTAAACTTAGTTTATTGTAAAACTGCGAAGTGATCTAGTAATCAAATACTAGATCACTTCGCAGTTTTACAAAATGTATTTTAGTCTCCTGAAATAATCAAGTTTTCAGTAAAGCCGCAGTGAATTGGTGAAGTACATATTTTAATTGAACTTCGAGTGGATTCGCTATTAGAATTTTCTTATGTCCTTGTTTCCCGTTGAGTGTTTACTACCGAAAGCATGTATGTTGCTTCGTGTTCGTATTAGCTTTGTAGTTGAAAGAGGACACAACTCGACTAGAGTCTACGCCACCGCGCAATCGCGGAGCTTACTTACTTGACTATCTACTAGATGGCGCTGTGCAATGACGTCACATTTCTGAATCGCGGTGTTAAGATTCTCCGGCGTTGAACGACCCTCGCAGCGAACTGAGCGGAATTCATACTTACCTGGCGTAGGGGATACCGTGATCAAGAAGGCGGTTCCCCCAGGGCGAGGTCCTCTCATTGCACTGCGATTGGGTTGACCCCTGCGATTATCCCTAATGTGGATAACTCGGACGCGTAATTTTTGGTAGTGGGGACTGCGTACGCGCTGTCCCCCCAGAAATCATGAAAAAGTTAAAGATAACAGCAACAATACGTGTATGTTTACATTGATGATAATATGTATATACAGTGAAACCTGGTTAAGTGAGACATCAAGGGACCTGCAATGTCGTTTCACTTATAGAGGTATTCCACTTACCCAGTGTCTCAGATATACCATTCCAGGTTCTCAGATATGCCATTAGGTTCCATTAATAGAGGTGAGAATACAGGTTATTTCAGATAAACAGGTATATAGTCAGTTATTCAGATACATAACACGTTATTTTATTTAATGATCGCATTAAATAAAATAACGTGCTATGTATGTAAATAAGTTTTAATAAAAAAAAATAGTACTTAAAGGTAATCATAATCACAAACTTTTTCGCGTGTCTTCCCACTTTCATAAACGGATATTAACTTCAGTTTTTCACGTAATGATAACGATTGTAGCTTTCGTTTGGCATTTTTCAAATAAACATCTGTATCATAGTAAAGCGAAACTAAAACTGAAGGTAATTGAAGCTCTAAATTTGTACTTAAGTACTTGGAATTACGTGTGGAATTTGCGGGTAGAATAAGAATGAGTAAACAAACAATGTTATCTCAGTTACAGAGGTTTATGCATATAAAATTGACTCGCTGTCTCAGTTATAGAGGTAACTATGGTGATAAATCGAAAGAACAAATCCCAGATATACAGGTTTGCCTCGTCCCACTAACAGAGGTAATTCAGTGCCAAATTGTTGGGACCTCAGCATGAGTTCCAGTTATGGAGGTTTCTCACTTATCCAGGTCCCACTTAACCAAGTTTCACTGTATATTGTATGTTACATGTTTTCGGGCTCGTGAAGTAAATATTAAAAATACCACGCAACATCGTGCCTTGATGTTTATATTCACGTATTAATTTTGATTCGTACTAAGTACGTACTTCTGTTTACTTGCTTAAAATAATTTAAGAGTATGGAAAAGTAAGAGCTCATGCTTCTTCCTACACCTAAACCAATCTACAGTTATTTCGTTAATAAAGTGGATATTGATCTTATTTCTCAAGACAAACATTTTCTGTAAGTAACTTAACAAAAACACTAAATTGTTACTGAGAATAATGTGAGCACATTTTACATTGACTCCATAATCGTGCACACAAATACGCCATTCTCTCATTATACACAATTACGCACCAAAACAACCGACATCCGTAAAACAACGCCCTGCTGAATCTATAACAATTAATCTACAATTTATAGGACCATAATGATTAACATACAAAGAAAATCACCCCTACGACCTATAAAATAAGAGTTATAATCCGGATTTGACTGTGAAACTTGAATGTGATACGATAAGAGTAGTTAAAGGACCTTGGGATTTGAAAGTGCACTCAGTAACCGGAACATAGACGTGGTTGTCCGTAATAAGTTCCAGGAAAAGTCTAGAATATAAAAAAGACAAATTTTACTACATTTGTAGCCTTTACGATCCATATAGGGGACCTTCCCTATATGGATCGTAAAGGCAACAACAAACCTTGCTTGCATTATTCGGGGAAATTCCCCGAATAATGCAAGCAAGGTTTGTTCCATTTCGTGTTTCACACCATTTAATATATAACGGCAACCAAAAAGTGACTGGGGAAAATTTAATAGAATTATTTGGTTTAATAATAAACAATAAGTCGATTAAAAGTGTTCTCATCATTGCTTCTCATACAAAGTACAAACCGATACGTACTTATACGCAGTGCTACGACCAAAAGTATTACTTTCAAAGAGATTGTGAAAAAATATAAGTATGTAATTAAAAACTAACTAGAATATTTTGGTCGAACGTAACAAGAGTAGTATGTAGTTATGTACTAAACAAACCAAAAATAAGAATTTTATAAAATAAATGGCAAAAGAAACGGGTCTGATTTTATTGGTCGGGCTGATACTGAGCACCCACTCCCGGCCGCTATCCCACTACTGCCCGATACGGGGACTTTTGGCTGCTGGGTTTCCCCCCTGGCCCGGTGCGCCCCTCCTTAGTAGACCTGCATCCCCCAGACTCCTCCGGGGGATCCATATCAATACCAGGCTTAGTGTGGACGTCCAGTCAACATGGGCCACTTAGCACCAGAACCCCCGACCTCAAACCATCCTCCGATTCCGACCTCCGAGTAGCCGGATTACAGGAGACGCCACGCTCCCAGTCGTAAGAGACGTCGAAATTGTTGTTCCTAACAAAGTATGTAAAAGGTTCTTCAAAACTTATAAAAAACTATAAATCAATAATATCACTTTTTATGTTCTGCACGTATTTATTTATCGAAATATTTTGAGAATTTGTTCTGTAATCATATTTTTTTACTAAAATTTTAGTTCGAGAACAGCGCCATCTACGAAAATGCTTACAAACTATTGGAACCGAAGTAGGTAGTTCAATTCAATAGATGTCGCTAGTAAAAGATGTAAAATAATTAATTAAATATTTTACTAAGATAAATAAAATTTACATAAATTCCGAAACACTTTATACACAATCACCAACTAATTATTTAGTTTATAATCAAATTAAGCGAAAAAAAAAATGAATCCAAAGTTACTATTTTGACAACCAAGTCAACCAACCCGATACAGCTGTTCAATTTGTTTCTTTTGTTTGAAAACTCAGCAACGGTGCAATTTGAATATTTGAAGTCGTTTTCAATAAATACACAATTAATAAATTAGCACAAAATAATTGTTTTAAATTGTAATTAATAAGAATGGAATCTACTGGTTTAATAAATTATAATAGGTAAGATTGTTATACAAACTTTTTACTCCTCGTTTCATATTTTGAACTTGCGCGCTCTATTGTATTGATTTTCCATCCAAAAATAAGTTAGAACGATGTAAATAAATCATAAAGCGGACCTTTAGCATTTTCTTAGCATTTAGTTAAACAAGCAAGCTTTCAGGCGGTGTTTTAGGTGTATTTTTAACAGAATTTGTGTGTTTAAGGAATAGTGTCGCGGATTCGTCTAGCCTGACACCCGTAAAGCCTAGACTCGGGAAATTTGTGGATGTTTACTCGCCCGAGCATCTAAATATAACACCGCGACCCGTAAGTAATTTATTTATAGCAAAATTCAATAAGTTGCTTGATTGATTGACGAATGTTCTCGATTGCAGAAGCCGAAGCTTAAATTCACTGAAGCCAGGGATGAGAGCCCAAATTTTGTCACCCCAGAGAAATACATTGAAGTTGATTTCAAATGCAGGTAAGTAAATAGTGTTGAAAATTGATATTTACCTTACATTTTTATTGACCTTTCTTGAATTTTGTAAACCATAATCTCTGTCCTGTATTTTATGTTTAGATGTTTATCAAAATACGGTTTATTACACAGTTCAAATCAATGTATTCAGTTGTTATGGTGAATTGAAAACAAATGTTAAGGTATTATTGTTTACAAAGAAAGTGTTTTGTAACTTAATAAGTGTCTTCTTTTAGTATTTTGTAAAGCTAAACAACAAACAGTTTCCATTCCATATATTTTTGTTGTAGAACTGCAAAGGCCCAAGATCGGCACCGGAATGTGTTTAGCAACTGTTCCTTTGAAGGTAATCAGAGCTTTCCACGCCTGAGCCGCAAGGTGCGGCCTATGATCATGGAGCTGGAAACACCCACCAAAGTGAAGCAAGCTGTTGATCTTGTGAGAGGTGCGTTATATCTATGTAACCCATGAACTAAATTTTCTCTCAAAATTAAGTTTAATGATGACCCTTTTTGTTGGCTGCCAAAGTGTTTATGTAATGTCATTTATATTATGAATGGGAAAAATGATGTTTACACAAATTTTCTTGTAGCTGAAAATCTTCTCTTAGTTATGAAAGCTAAAGAATTTGTACATTTGAATATGCAAACCTCAAGTGTACTTGTTGGAAATTAAAAAATATGTGATGGTTCATAGTTTAGAAAAGCTAATAACAATAAAAATAAACATGCTATGAACAATAAGTACCGACCAGCAGGTGAAACAGTGAAACCATGCTGAAGAAACTAATCACTTTTAGTTACATACCAATGTTTTCTTTTGTAATAAAAAATATAAAATTCAACCAGGTGTCAAAAGTGAAATAAGGGATTTATGACTCATATATAACTGTTTCATCTGTAGAATGCAGATTTATAAAATTCAATAGTCAAAAAACATAAGTTTAAAAAGAAACATTTAAGTCTTATTAGTTACTAGCTTCTGTCGCGCGGTTCCACTCGCTGCTCGGCTTCTACTAATCGTAGCCTGATGTTTTATAGCCTAAAGCTTCCTCGATAAGTGTACTAACAAACACAAAAATAATTATTCAATTTGAACCAGTAATTCTTTAGAATTGCGCATTCAAACAAACAAAGAAACTATCCAGCTTTATAATATTAGTATAGAGTACCAATATCGCTGGTTCTAGTTTTTATTTATTTATTGAATTATGGACAACCAGTAGCTGCTACATTATTTCTTACATCTAAACATTAAATACACTATTATAAAATTAAATGTATAGCATTTTAAGGTGTCACAACATGCACAAAATATTTTATAGTGACACAAAAAATAATTAATAACGAAGAATATAATTTAAAATAGTAGGAAGAGTAATAAGATAGAAATTGCAAAAATTACGATTCTAAATTAAATTAAAATAAAATAAGTACTTATATATAAAACAAAAACATTTTTTTTATTTAAACAAAGTTTATTGGAATTCGGTCCTCCCAAAAATCCCCAACACATATATACATAAAAACATACATATGTGCAAGAGATGAAAAATGCATTCTCTTTCACTCACATTCAGCAAAAAGTTCTCTGATGAATATTTCTAAAACTGCTACCAATAATTTATTTCATCTGAAATATATTTTGAATAATATTTTTTTATTCTTTATAGTGGATGGACCAAATGGGCTTAGATTCAACACATCTTTAGCACCTGATGTAGCAGGATCCCCGGCCCCATCTCAGACTGAGCGTCTTCAACAGACCATTAACCCGAGCAAGGCTGTCTTCACCATTGAACCTAATACTTTGAAGGTATGGAACATATTAATCACTATTCATCTACACTACACTACACTATTCACAAATAACAAAATGCAATAGATAGAAATGTCTCAATTATATTAAATACTAGCTCCCACCCGCTCTTTCACCTGTGTGGTATTTTGAAAAAACCTATCATGATACCTAATTTCAACCAAATCGGCCCGGTCGATTCGATCGGTTTTAGTGTGAATGAATAACAAACATACATTCTCATAAACTTTCACAATTATAATATTAGTAGGATTGTGAGATGTAAAACTGAACAAAAGAAATTACAGCGATTTAGAAGACAATATACCTGTATGCAAGTTCTTAAATTGAATAAATAAAATGCTGATGATTAATTAAATAAAAAAAAAATATCAGGATCAACTTAGAAAAGCCCTGTTAGTCCAAACAATTATGTATTAAAATTCCATTAATTTATTTTCCTTAACATATCTTGATCTAACTTCTTTCAGATTCTCATAGTGAACAACAAAGCATGCTCCTTATTGGGCTATTCATCAGGAGACCTATGTGGACTTCGTTTCTCTGACTTGCTGAGAAACAGGAACTGCAAAGCATTCAGCTTACATGAGCCAGAGGACTGTGATGCATCTGAAGATGGAACCGTTGTGTTGCTTAGTGGAAAGGTATTTATTATGAACTAACCGTTCAGAATACAGAGTAGTATAAACATTTAACTTTCGCGTTTCATATTTACATCATAAATAATGACGCGGGCTATTAATCTGCTTGCGACCACGACTTGTGCAACCAGGTCGAAACCGCAAGCCTACCATACCTTGGTAGGCTTTTAAATAATTATTTTCGCGGTGGTTATATCCACTTCTCATGCATGAAGGGTGTCGTTTTGAAACCTGGCAAGTATCCCTTTGACTTTTTCCGAGTTATATGTTCTTTCTATGATTATTTACACACCACTGACATAAGGTGAAGGAAAACAGCGTGAGGAAACCTGGACTTGTAATTTCTATTCAAATCGCCAATCCGCCTTGAGCAAGCATTGTAATTAATGCTCAAACCTTCTCCGTTTCCAAAGAGGCCTGTGTTCGGCAAAGGCTTTAAAAAGTAAAAAATTATAGGGTAAACTAAATTTATGGAAGTGACCTTTAGCTTCTATAAATAAATCTTGCCATCCTTATATTGGGACCAGACAGCTGGATATAATGTGCTATTTCCATACCGACTTTTCAAGTTAACACTCATAGTCCAGCCGGGGCTGCGGGATGGGATGCTTTTTATTCAGTAAGAGTCTGACACTCTCTGCCACTATGGGCGAAAGAAGCTATTTGATGATTCCCCCAATAAAAAAAAACATGGCAATTTCGATGGATACCTTTATTACTGAACGAAAATTGAACGCCAGAATAACATGTAAATGACTTAATATTTACCTAAATAAGTAACGGTATATGTATTTCGTTTCAGGTAGTAGAACTAATATCTAAAGACGGTGGGTCGGTACAAGTGTCGCTGTGGATAAGGCAGCTGGATAACGATGGTCCGTGCTTAGTGGTCGCTGAACCCGTCAACTGTAAGAATGTTGTGGTAAGTAATATACATTCGACGGAAGACTAGTTAGTCCTCCAAGTAAAACGACAACTCGTCACTATGGTGTGTCGGTTCAAGTGGTAAACTAAAGGTAAACAATTTTGGTATACTTTTTATACTAAAGAGGTCGTATAAAATACATACTTATATTATATAAAGATTGTTTAAATTTAGTTAGTTATATAAATACCTACTTAATTTTTACACTCAATTTTTAGACAACTTTTAGATAAAAAGAAATGCCAAGATTAATTACATTTAGCGAATGACCTAAACTGATAGACCATAGTGTCCCCACTAATTAATCGATGCTCTAGCGGCAATCCTGCCCAAGATACGTCCTCTGACCGGCAGGCATATTAGATTGTACGGTTGGCGGAAACTGCAAAACATGTTAACAGTTCGATTCAATCGACGTAACAGTATTTTATTCCTGGTCTTGGTGTCGGCATTTACTTGACGACTAAATTTTTACGTAACCCAATTAAAAAAGAGACGGGTTAAATATTTTTTATTTCTTTTTTCTAGTTAACAGTAGAAGCGGACACAGGTATAATCCTGGCTTGTGAAGGAGATTCAGCGGCCGCGTTGTTCGGGGCGGAGTCGCGGGACAAGCTTGTCGGAGTTCCACTCGCGTCCCTCATACCTAACGCGAGGCTTCCATCTTATGACGCGCCTATGCCGAAGAATATGGCGAAGCAGAAACTAACAGGTATTTCATATTTTAATGTTTTACTTTCTACTTTTCGGGTCTGGATGGCATTTGTATATGAAATTATTTGTATGTAAACGCACCCACGAATAGAAGAAAATGCTAGTGTAGGGATACAGTAAAAAAACAATATCAAAAAAGCTTTAACCAAAGAATTCGAAACATGTTTTCATCCAAATCCATAATTGTATCAGATTCATGTCTAAATAGCTACTATGTTCTTTAGGGAACAGAGAATAACATTCCTAAAAGTTGTAAAAGACGGATCCCTCGGGTTCGTCGGGTTAGGATTTTGAACCCATGTTTATCCGTGCACCATTGTCATCAAAGTTTTGTGTGTGTGCATCACCACAATACTCAGTACCAGCTAATTTTGAATATAGAACGAAATTTAAAAATATGTCCTTTTTTACCCTTGTTTTGTAATAATATATTAACACAGTATAAATCTTTTAATTTATAGGGAGAACACTAGATGGTGGATGTTTCCCGCTCTGTCTGTGGATATCGAAGCCAGACGTCACAGACAACTCGTTGTGGCCAACTGTATGTGGTGTCAAAACTCATAGACCTGTGTTTGAAGTCAATGTTAGGGTGAGTACTAGATTATGTTAATACTCGTATCTCTGATGCAACACTTTGATATTTAATAGTGCCTCAAGTCCCGAGATTTAATGTTGTAAGTTGTTGTTGTTGTCGTTGTTTTTAAGTGAGACATTTGCGACCTCCAGAGCTATGCCCAGTTCTGATAATAAATGGATGCCGTTTTACATATTCGTTCATCATTCTTCGTTTGAAAATTGATAGTAACATCTCAAGATCCACAAATTGTTGTTTCGGGTCTGGGTGTCATGTGTATGTGACATTGTATGTTTGTAAACGCACCCACAACACAGGAGAAAATCCTAAAGTAGGGCGACGATTTAAAAAAAAAAAAAGATTTCAGCTTATAACTTAAACTTAAAACCCCTTGATATGAACTTGTAACCTGTATTAAGTTGCATCTTACTAAGTACTATTGAATCTTTTTTACTTATAGTAGTTGATATCTTTTTGACGTAAGTTAATGTTATAAAACATGGCTTCCCAGGTCACATACAACGTCAGTGGTCTACTAGTTGTCGACGAGAGTGGTATAATAACAGCGTGCAACCACCACTTCGCTATGCTGACGTTCGGGAAACCACATTCTGAAGTAATAGGCCACCATATCGAAGATGTTATACAAAATTTCTGCCAAGAAGCTGATATTGTTAAGATACCAGAACGTAACAGAAATATGACTTTGTCCCCTGTTAATAATGAGGATAATGGATCAGGTATGTACAAGATAACTTTGAGTCTGACTCTTAAGTTCAGTTTCAACACAAAAATGAAGTTATTGTAAGTAAAATAACAATTTGAACATAATGACTACCAATAATGCCAGTATTCTAAACTAACACTTTTACATTTCTAACTCTGAAGACATTTTTGGCACCATTTCATTAACATTTTATCATAATTATGCCTAAATTATGAGAGTTCACAAACACGTAAACTACTACTATTAAAAATATTTATCAGCGTTAAAACCATGTTCACCACACTAATCGCTGTTAAAGGGTGCAAATCGGCTAGTTACTTTATCGATCATTTGTTGCTTGATCAAGGCATGTTCAGTAGTTTAACATATGACGTAAATGATCGATGATACAAACAATTTATAAAACACCACAATTTCAATTGTTCTAGCATCAGACACTGACGAAGATTCATGCGGAGCATTCAACGGCAGTCAGAAATCAGCTTGCATGTCGTTAAACGTCCATCCCTCCATACTGTCCACCACGCGGGAGAAATCGTCCAGTGCACTGTGTCTCGACAAATCCTGTAGCATGGTCACCCACACCCCCACCCCCACGCAAGACATGGTATCAAGCATTAGTACTACAGAACAACGAAACGACATATCCGCCCTACCTGACGTCACTTCGGGGATGTCAGGAATATCTATAGATGACGAAAATTATTGTCACAGCAGCATATCGAAGTCTCGCTCAGAGAATATTCTCCGGTCTGAGCAGAGCAACCCTACTAGACCAGTGGCCAAGCCATCGGAGAAGTCTGACTCTATATACTACACTTCACAGCATTCGCAAGAAGTAACACCGACTGGAACTACTCCTAGAGTTAGACTCAACGATCCTTCTTTGAGGTTATCATTCGATTCTAGCAAATATAGATCTCTTAAAGCGAATTTACCTGGGAAAGATGACAAAACGAGTCTCTCTTTGGACTTTTGTGACTCTAATGAGACTAGTGCGGACTTCCTCACTCCTATAAACGAGATGCCGCCTCCTGGTTGCGAGATTGAAGACTTGCCGAAACACAATGGCAACGAGAGCGTTGACAGCTTGAGCAATGAAAACGACTTGGAGACACAGACTGAATCTGCTCCGAGGAAATTATATTCAGGTACGTTGATCTTATTTTTAGCGCCAGCTAGGCAGAAGGAATCAATCAGTTTCTAGCAGAATATAATCCCATCAAAATATTGGTATTAAAATTGACTATTGAAAGTGAGCTGTGTAATTCTGAAAGAAGATAAATACAGTTGGATAGCCTATGGCTTCTCTATTCTCACCAATAACTTTTAAGTCTATCTCATGCAAATATAAAATCTTTTATCGTGGAATATGCATAATGAAAAGATTTAAAATTGAGATTGCTCATTGAATATTTTATTTATAATTTGTACAGATGATGCCCCCGAAACCCCCTGCGTGGCGAAGCGCATGGTGCGTACATTGGTGATGACGTCAACCCCGCAACACGCTCGCAACAAGCCGGACTGCGAGGCCGGACCCGACACTGCGCGGGACGGGACCTACCGGGGGGTCGTACTGCACAAGGACGGCACTCAGCTTAGTAAGATATACCATGTTCCCCATACTCATGTACCACTGATACTTTTGACCTATACAATCATGTCATGTTATGAATTAATTTCCCAGTTTACTTAACATTGTGGCTCCAATTTTTGACGATGTAACCGACAGATATTAGATCTTTTTTGTCATAAAATGTTTTCGAGTTTTGTTCTTAACAACACAATTCGCACAACTTTTTTCCATAGAAGATAAAAAACACATTAATTCATCAAATCCAAAGCGTACGCCACACCTATTGTTCTTCTATTGTGTCTCGAATTTCGACGATTGCAAGGTTAAAATAAAAATATTTACAAGTTTCAACATTGTAACAAATTCATCGGCTAGAGATAAAGAAAGGATTTACTTTCAATACCGCGAATTATTGATTAATTACAAGATACGAATGACTTCCGTTGCAATAAAATTATATTAATTTAATCTTTTGACAGTTAATAATAAGCCGCGTTTAGTATAATGAGTTTTTAGGAAATAGAGTAATATTTCCTAAGATCGGAAGAGGAGGATCCTTTGAGCAGTCGAAGTGCATCAACTTTATTTCCTCGATATGAAAGATTTGTAACGTCATTATAAAAGAAAGTATATATTTATTGTGCAGACGTTTTGTACACGGTGTCGAGTATGCAGCTGGGCGGGGCCGGCGCGGTGGGCGGAGCCGGCGGGGCGGGGCCAGGACCGCGCGTGCGCTGCGTGTGGCTGGGGGTACAACTGGAAGATGCACGCAGACATACTACGCTTGCTTCCAGCGTCGCTTCTACTGCCGACAACTCTTTGATACTCGTGAGTAATTAAAAATCTTGATTAATCAGTCTGACTGTAGAGAATATTCTCAATAAGAACTCAGTAGTCAGTTACACAAAAAAAAATAAGCTCTTGTGAAACCTGGATGTTATAATTCTCTCTTGCTACAATACGATAGTTTCCAACTAGTCAAATTCAATATTTTTAATCAAATGTCAAAAACGATATTTTCTCTTTACGTCAAAGTATTTTCGCATATAATAAATTCCTACCATTAAGATACTACCCAATTGTAACACAAAATGGGTACAAAATCTCCATTCTATCATGATTTAACTATTTGCCAAGTAAATATATAAAACTTTATCATGCAATTTACATATATGTGACAGGGTAACAAGTCGGCAGGCAGTAGACCTCAGTCAATGTCTCTAGTAAGCCAATGCGGTGACGAGCAAGTATCCGGCGAATACAACAAACATTACGTCACACTAAAACAAATTGGTAAGATGTGCTTTTTTTATAACATGGACGATTAAATGCATGACATTTTGTGCATGATATTGGGTCGGCTCGACTGCAGTGATACAACGGCCTCACAGAAAACCAGCGTGAAACAACCACAGCGTGGTGTTTCGCCATGTTAGTGAGGTTACCGGAGGCCTAGTCCTCTTCTGACGTCCCTCCCCAATCCTTAAATATCCGAAACCATTATTCCCAAAAGGCTGGCAACACATTCGTTACTCCTTTAGTGTTGCGTGTGTCCAACCGATCGCTTACCATCAGGTCAAATCAAATCACTTTTCTTACTTTTAGTCCAAATGATAGTCCTATCAGAATGTCGAGCCGGACCATTGCACATTGGCGCATTACATAAAATTGAATTCTTTTTCCAGGTAAAGGAGCATACGGATGTGTAAAAATGGCATACCGTCGTTCCGACCGTCTACTGACAGTTGCCAAGTTTATTCTCAAAGAGAAGGTCGGAGCACAGTTCTGGGTCGACGCTCCGGACGGACGCCGCGTACCGTTGGAACTGAGTTTGTTGCTCACACTCAAACATCCTAATATTGTGAGTATGTGGACAGTTCTACACTAATTCTATAATATTGAAGTAATAAAACTAAATCTTAATTAACTATCCTCTGTGCAGAATAAAAGCTATCATCTTGTTTCTTAATCATTATCAGGTGACAGATGTAAACTGCTGAGCAAGGTTGTTTCGCCCTTAAAAGAGCCATAATGCCAAGTTTGGCAAGCAACTTAGGGACAAAGTCACTGAATTTTTCAAGGATGTCTTTTCTTTTTTGGCTCGTGGAAGTTTAAAACATAGGCCATAATTATGTTTAAAACATCTTTGTTCTCATGTTAACCAAGTACAGGTCTTATTGTGATGTGTAAGTCGTGGTGGCCCGTAGGTTAAGGAGCCCGCTTCTCATGCACGAGGGTGTGGCTTCGAAACCTGGCAATTACCAATGTGACTTTTTCCGAGTTATATGTACTTTCTATGATTATTTAGACACCACTGACATACGGTGAAGGTAAACATCGTGAGGAAACCTGGACTTATAATTTCTAATTATAAGTTTGAAATCGCCAACCCGCATTGAGCAAGCGTGGTGATTAATGCTCTTACCTTCTCCGTATGAGAGGCCTTTGCTCAGCAGTGGGCAACTTATAGGCTGATGATGATGATGAGGAGGTCTTATTGTAAACTTTTTAAGCACATTCTCTTTCAACAGGTGAGTGTTATAGATGTGTTTGAGAACGAAAAATACTTTCAAATGGTGATGGAAAAGCATGGCGCAGGTATGGATCTATTTGAATTCATTGAACGAAGACCAAGACTCGACGAGCCGCTGCTCAGTTATATATTTAGACAGGTAATTATTATTGAACATGCATGGTAACCTTTTTTATGGTATTTTTTGTGAGGGGAAAATCATCCAAATTACTCCTCTCGACCACGGTGAGGCAAAACGAGTGTCGGGCTCTTACTGACTAAAAACGCACCCGTTCCTTCACCTGCTTTAGACCGAGGCTGTGTTACTTATTGCGCTAGTCCCGCAACCCCGGCTGAAAATCGGCCCTGTAGGGCCCCGTCTGTGGTGGTCTATTGGCTCTTTGAGGTGCGCGTGTGAGGTGCGGTCTACGCTCTGTACGCTTGGGTTTTGGTCTGGCAGCGTGCTACTCTTGCTCGCCATCCACAGACCCGCGCTTATGGTGGCCGCAGAACCTTTTCTATGGCTGAAATTTAAATTACAACTTATTCTAATTACAGATAGGACAAGCAGTAGAATACCTGCACTCTTTAAACATCTTACATCGTGACATCAAAGACGAGAATGTCATCATTGACAACAAATTCCACGTCAAACTGATAGATTTCGGTTCAGCAACGTTTATGAGCAAAGACACTCTGTTCTCCACCTTCTACGGTACTACAGAATATTGCAGCCCTGAAGTATTAGCAGGGAACAAGTAAGTACTTCTTAGACTACTTGAAGGCGTTTGGCGATGTTACACCCTCATTATAAATGTAAAGTAAAGATGGAAAATTTATTTACGTGTAATTTGGTAAAATATTTATGATGTTTTAAAAACCTCAGTTTAATTTTCAAAATTGCAACAATTTGTACAAATATGTATACTGAAAATTAGTGAATGTGATTGGAGTTTCTCAAGGTACGATATTGGGTCCACTATTCACACAAACTTTTTTAACAGGTATGCAGGTCCTGAATTGGAGATGTGGTCAATGGGGATAACTTTATATGTCCTCACATTCTTTGTTAACCCGTTTTCGGACATCGAAGACACAATACAGGGACCGCTAGCGTTCCCGCAAGTGGTTTCTGAAGGTGAGACACACCTATACCTACTATTTCATATTATACCTACTCTTCAAAGCAGAAGGTTTGTTTTGAGTGCCATATAATGTAAGACCATTCCATTTATATTTTCATACACTAGCCTCATTTTCAGACTTTATAAGAGTTTATGAAATATAAGGCTTAAGTATCATCGCAATGCAAAGCGAAGATTTGCCTCACTTCCTAACACAATCAATAAGATATATTTTATGTATTCGTCAATAGATTTGGAACAGCTTCTCCGCTGGATGCTATGCAAGGAGCCAGCGAGTCGGTGTACGATATCTCAGTTAATGGCGCACCCTTGGATTAGACAGCCTGTCGTCATTGCCAACTACGTCTTCCACGAAATTGTGGACTGTGGTGAGTACATTCTTTGTAAGTCGTGAGTCATTTCGCATTGGAGCCAGACATCAATCATTTCTGGGCCGCACGATCGATAATAAAGCAATCCTTTATACATCATCAGCCTGTAGGTACGTAAACACTGCTTAATCTCTGCTAAGCAAATGCCTCCTCTCGCACGGAGAAGGTTTGAGCATTAATCACCACATTCGCTCGAGATGGATTGGCGGTTTCAAACTTATAATAAGAAATGATAAGTCCAGGTTTCCTCACGAAGGTTTTTTATTGGTATCAAAATAATATTTTATAATAAACATACTACAATAAACGTGGAAAAGTTATATTAGCACTTGCCAAGTTTCGACCAAACCCTCATGCATAAGAATCCTTCGGGCCAAACGATAATTCTATGAAAATATATTTTCCAGATCGGCATGAAGCGAATCCTGAAATGTACTACAGTGGCAGTCTAGGATCGCCGCGTAGTGGATCTCCGGTGTCATTAGCTGATCCGATGGTCAAAGGTTAGATGATAAATGATGTTTTTTTAATTTAAGGGGCTAATATTATTGTATTTTAAGATACAATATAGCGCTTTTACATTATATACAATTGATTTTTATAATAATGGGAGACCGTTCGATCCATAATCAAATCACCTCAATCATACACTAAAAATATCTTGACGTTCTAGACATGAAACTATATCTTCTCTTATACTCTAACGACCAAAATTAATAATCGAAAATATTTTTGTATTATTTATCGAAAATATTTTTTATATTATTTATCAAAAGGAATATTAGGCTATCACCAACAGGTTCACCTGATGGTAAGCGGTCAAAACCGCCCGTAGATACTGCAACGCTAGAAAAATCACGAATGCGTTGCTAGCCTATTTAAAAGTTTAGATAAGTTAAGAATCTCGCCATTAAATCTGTAAACAAAACATAGCAAAGCTTTTTAAATATAGAATACTCTTCTCTTTTTCCAGAACGTTCAAATCCTTCAGAAGTGGCAATAAGGTCGGACGGCAAGAATTTATCACGGGACGAGCCCAAGCGTAACTCCCTGGCACTGCACGCGTTGTCCACAGCCGATCGAGACGCGCAGTCCGACAACTATAGTCTACGGTCGTCCGCCGATGTATGTAAACTGCTATAGCAATACAAAGAATTAGAGTATTAGAGCGTTATGTTCATGTCATACAGTATATTTTCCCATAACAATATTTGGTTTCTACGAACTAAAAAACGTTCTATGCTACTTAGTCCGTTGGTTAGCACTAATAGCTGTTTTTTTTTTTCATTTTTTCATTTCTTCTTGGGTTGAGCTATTGCTCAAGGAAATTCGCTATTATCAAGCGTTAGATTAACATTAGCATATGAAATAAAATAAAGCTAGCTTCGTCAGATTGCGAGTAAACAGGTTGATAATATGGTAAAGAAAAGCAATTTAAAAAAATCAGCAGGTCTAATCTTTGTTTACAAAAGTGGGCTTGTTGGGTTCGATAGTTCAGTGGAGATAAATAATTTAAGTGTGGACTGTATAATAAGTTTTATATGCAATAATTATCAGACTGTTACAATTACGGTTATAAGAAAGTGAATTTAAACAATATGGTAAGAAAGCGCGAGCGCAACCGTGCGTCCAGGCGTGCAACAGCTGACTGACGTATAGCGGGGCAGCGCGGGGCAGGTCGTTGCCGCCGCGCGCGCCTCCGTCCGTTGTCCCCTCCATCGCGCAGCGGAGGCCAATGAGTGCATGACTCAACATCCTCCCCCCGTTGAAGAGTCTTCAACAGACACAGGCAAAGGACATATAGTGTTGAACGCTCGCCGAATGACACCCTTTCGTGTGCGGATGTCGGCGACTCGTGCGATGCCGTCTCTGCCAGGAAGCACCCGAGTGATGCGCCCTAGAAGCCAGAGTAGAGGTGGTAAGCTTTTGTCTTTGATGACAACGAGAGTCCCTTCCTTCAGCGCTCCGGAAGACCGCTGCCATTTCGTTCTCTCCTGCAGCCACAGAATGTACTCCTGAGAGAAACGATTCCAAAAGTGTTGTTTGAGGCACTCTATGCGTCGAAACCGTTGAAGACTGGAGATGTTGGTATTCTCGATCTGTGGGTGAGGCAACATAACAAGTGAGCGTCCAATCAGGAAATGTGCTGGAGTTAATGGAGTAAGGTCGGAAGGGTCGTTGGATAGTGGAGTTAAGGGCCTAGAATTTAAGATAGCCTCCACTTGAATAAGACATGTTGCCATCTCTTCGAACGTTAAATTCGTTAAACCTAGAACTCTCCTCAAGTGGTGCTTGGTTGATTTCACCGCGGACTCCCAAAGTCCTCCAAAGTGAGGAGTATAGGCAGGGATAAATGAAAAGTTGATGCCTGGATCAATTGCGTTGAACTGTAAGTCTTGTGAGAGTAGGTTAGCCAACTCATTGAAAGCACCGACAAACGTTGTGCCGTTGTCAGAGAAAATGTTACGTGGTTTCCCCCGTCGAGCAATAAAACGGTTCATGGCAGCCAGGAAAGCCTCCTTCGTGAGATCCGATACCAGTTCGAGATGGACGGCTCTGGTAGCTAGACACACAAAAACACATATGAAACATTTAACGAGCCTACACCCTCGTCCCTTACGGTCAGCTATCATAATAGGTCCGGCGTAGTCGACACCTGAATCTAAGAAGGGAAACTCTAGGTGCAAGCGTTGCTCTGGAAGGTTGCCCATCATAGGCTGGATAGTGCTTGCCTTAATCCTGCAACATTTCACGCATTCATGTGTGACCTTCTTTGCCAAGTTCCTGCCCCCAATAGGGTAGAAGTGGTGACGAATCGTGGCAAGTAAGAGTTGAGGTCCTGGATGCAAAAGACGCGAGTGGTACATATTGAATAGTAGTTTGCAAACAATATGAGAACTGGACAAAAGGATGGGATGTTTTACGTTATAGTCGTAAAATGAATTACTTAACCTACCTCCAACACGTATTAAGTTTGAGTTACTATCAAAGAATGGAGACAAAGAAAGAAGTTTATTTTTAGCCGGTAATTGTTTGCCTGCTACAAGCAAATTATACTCTTCGGAGAACGACTCCTGTTGAGATAATCTGCAGAGAAAATGCAAAGATGAATTTAGTTCTGACGAAGTGAGTGCACCGTGAGCAGACGGCTGTCTCCTACATTTATTATAAAATCGTAACACGTATGCAATCATACGTTGTAGTGTATAAAGATTGGATGAATGTTTAGGAAATAATGAACAAATAAGAATTTCTGTTTTATTAAGAATATCAATATGGTAGGAAGAAACTGTTTCAGGAAGTTTAAAGGCATGTTGAGTTGAAGTAGGAAATTGAGGCCAAGATGACTTTCCTTCAAGAAGATATTGGGGTCCTGACCACCACAACGAAGAGGATAGCAGTTTGTCCGCTCTGAGTCCACGCGAAGCGAGGTCTGCGGGGTTTAAAGAAGAAGGAACGTAGAGCCAAGACCTTCCCGCAGTAGTTTCCTGTATCTCAGAAACTCTGTGACGGACAAAGGTCTTTAATTGCGTTGGTGATGTAGACAACCAGCCCAACACTATTGTTGAGTCACACCAGAAGTATATCTCGTCAAAGTGTAGTGTCAGTGACTGATGAACCTTAACATAAAGACGTGAACCTAATAATGCTGCACAAAGTTCGAGGCGAGGAATGGTTGTGGATTTGACTGGAGCAACCTTGCTTTTAGCTGTTAAAAGTTGAATGTATACCTTCCCGTCTTCTGATTCACTGCGAACGTATACACATGCACCGTATGCCCTTTCAGAGGCGTCAGTGAAGACATGCAACTGTAACGAAGCTACTGATTCACAGGTGATCCATCGGGGTATTTTGAATTGATTCAAAAGAGGCAAAATGTTTAAGAAGTCACTCCAGATATGTTGAATCTCTTCAGGAACTGGTTCATCCCAAGAGCAACCTGCCAGCCACAAGCGCTGCATTAATATTTTGGCCTCTACGATACAAGGAACAACCAAGCCAATTGGATCAAATATTTGTGAAATTGTCGATAAGATTTGACGCTTTGTAGTACTGTTACTAGGAGTGACGCTGATTGAGAAGTATAATGTATCTGTAGAGCACTTCCAGTTTAGCCCTAGAGTCTTTGAAGATTCATTTTCACTAAGAGTGACGAAATCAGAGGCGACCTGATCTTCGCAAATGGCCTTTAGTACATCACGTGAATTTGACTGCCACTTACGTAGATTGTACTTACCTGTTTTAAGAACAGCAATGACATTTCGACACTTATCTACAGTTTCCTCAACAGACGAACTGCCTGACAAGTAATCGTCAACATAGAAGTCGTGCTCTATTGTAGAGCGCGTTATGGGATCATCACACTCCTTAGCAAGCTGCATGAGACATCTGGTTGCCAAGAATGGCGCAGAAGCGGTGCCATACGTCACTGTGTTTAAGGTGTACGTTTTTAAGGGATGAGTTGGCTCTGTTCTCCAAAGAATCTTTTGCAGAGGCCTATGAATGTCGTTCACGCGAGTGACTCTATACATCTTTTCGATGTCTGCGCTGACAACTATCATATGTTGACGAAACCTAAGCAAGATGGTTAATAAGTCGTCTTGTAAAGGAGAACCAACCATTTGTATGTCGTTGAACGACTTACCTGAGGTAGTACGAGCCGAAGCGTCAAAGACAACCCTAAGCTTGGTTGTAGACTTGGATTCGTTCAATACTCCATGATGAGGCAAGTAGTTCGAGTAAGAATATGTAGTGTTGAGGTGACTATACTCAGACATATGGCCTAACTCTATATATTCTGTCATGAAGCTGACATAAAGTTGTTTTAAGTAGGGGTCTTTGGCCAAACGACGTTCAAGAGAAAGGAAACGACGCCTGGCCATTGAATATGAGTCGCCTAACACGTCAGGTGATTCTTTAAGAGGAATGGTGACAACAAACCGTCCATCCGCATCGCGAAACGTGGTCTCTACGAAGATGTCTTCGCAGGATCGCTCCTCGCATGTCTGTTTGTGTTGTGGGTGGACTGAATCTAGCTCCCAGAAGCGATTCAGGCCCAGCCGTAAGTCATCTGTAAGAGTAATAAAGGAGGAAATGTGAGGGGCTAATTGATTAGGTTGCTGTAAAACGCCCGTAACGAGCCAACCTAATTTGGAATCTACCAATGTAGGCATGTTTTTTCCTAGTGGAATGCGTGTCGTGCCTATGATGGCCCAAAATATCTCCGCTCCGACTAGGATGTCGATGGAAGACGGAGTATAAAAGTTAGGGTCGGCAAGGACTATGTTGCTAGGCAAACGTATGTGGTTTGTATGAATGAAGGTATTCGGAATTGATGAAGAAACTTTTGATATGACATGACAGCTTAAATCTACTTCAAATTCACTATGTCCTGATTTTAATGAAATTGTACAACCATGTGAACAAGCTGAGGACTGGTTGTTTATGCCTTTTACTTGGGATTCAATGGGATAAGTGTGGATACGTAGCTTGCGGCAGAAGTCTTCAGATATGAAGTTCGCAGTGCTTCCGTTGTCCAGTAAGACCCTGGCATCGTGAGGATTGCCTTCAGCGTCTGACACTTTCACGAGCGCTGTGGACAGTAATACAACCTTTGATGTATTAAGATGATTGGCGGACAGAACTATATTTTGCATACTTGAAGAGTCTTTGTCCGTGTGCAGCAAGGTATTGTGTTTTTCAGTACAATACTTACAAGGACCTAATTTGCATTTTTGTGCGTAGTGACCTGGTCGAAGACAATTGAGACATACGTTCGAAGTATGAGCTTTCTTGATCCTGTCCTGAACTGGTAGGATTCTAAACTTGTCGCATTGGAAAATGAAGTGACTTTCTTTACAAATGGGACAAGTTAATGGTTTTGAGTTTGAAGATGCGTGTGTTACTGCAAACGATTTGGCTTTATGATTGGTATTAACAGAGCCATCCATTTTGTTCTTAAAGGGTTTAGACTCTTCGAGTGTCTCCAATAAGTCAGCTCTGCTACTGATGAAGTTAATAAACACGTTTAATGTTGGAGGGTCAGCTAAGGAATTTCTGTGCTCTTCCCACTCACGATTCGTCACCTGATCGAGCTTGCTGGTCATTATATATATAACCAAAGTGTCCCAGTGCTGGACAGGCTGACCAAGAGTGGACAAGGCTCTTAAATTTTTATTTACTGTGTCAACTATATGACGCAATGAATTACTTGACTCCTTGTTAATGCTATTCAGGTTAAAAATGGCTTGAACATGGTTATTGACAAGCAGTCTTTTGTTGTCATACCTACTACAGAGCAACTCCCATGCAGCGTCGTAATTATCTGATCTAAAATCTAAATTATCAATAATGAGAGACGCGCTACCCTTTAAAGAAGCATGAAGATAGTGCAATTTATTTATTTTATCTATGCCTTCATTGTTATGTATGATGGAAATAAATGTGTCCCTAAACTCTAACCAATCATGATAGCTGCCAGAGAATTTAGGTAGTTCTATTTTGGGTAAACGAATTGATGAGTGTTTGTGTATGTGCGAAATACCAGATACCACCTCGGACGCGGAGTCTCCCACGAGATGCCCACGAGCACCGCTAATCAGCTGACGTGACGAAGCAACTAAGGCATAATACAGCTTCTCAAATTCCTCGCGTTCCGCATATTGCTCGCTGGGGTTGTCCACCGCTTCCTCCAGGTCCATCTGTAACGTATCGTATTTTTCGTAAAGACTTTCGAATACATGGAGGCGATGTTCAATTTCAATGAGCTGAATATCACTCAACTTCTCACAAGATTTGACTACGTTTAGGTAGGAAGAGAATTGCGTAAGCTTGGCTTTAAACGAAGCTCGCTTTTTAATAAGGCTTTTAATGTCAGCCATAATTTATTAAGAAGCAAAGAAGCGTGAGGGTAGCTGACAATAACAAAAGGTGAGAGCCTGCTGAATTTTATGAGCAATCAAAAACGATTGATCAAGGATTTGCTATGAAAAATTGTACAGGCGTTTAAGCAAGTGCCTAGCCAAAATTGATAGCAATATGTTGCGTGAATATTATTTGAGCTAGATGCAGAAGCGTGATTTGCTATAATATTTTGTTAAGGCGTTTAATTTTGCATCAAAATTGTTGTGTCACCCTGGAAAAATTTACACATAGAAAAAAAACTTAATTTTAACTAACTACGTATGTAAATGAGGAATAACTACAATGGGCACTACAAGCTGTTTACTAATGAATTAATGAAAATGAAATATGATCGTGATAAAGAGATGTAACAGTCAGATGAAGGTGGAAGAAAAAAAATGATTTGAATGATTTGCAATAATACTATGCGATGAAAACTAATGAAATGTATAGGCAATAGGGTTAATGATAATGATTATGAGAGGTATGATTAAGGAATAAATGGAACGATCTCACGGTTTTGTTGGCGCAAACCACTTATGTTGATTGTGACGAGGAGATTCTTCACGTTTCTCGATGCACGACGACAATCTCAGAGTGCGTATTTGCAACCGCTGAGCTGATGTAGTTCCACTTGATGACTTGTCCGTTGGCTTGTAGGCGGCTAAGACGGCTGAAGTGAAGCCGTGCCGATGTTCACGACGAACCAAATGCAGACACGATGAGGACCTCGAAGCAGGCACGATGAAAAATTCGATGCTGGCACGATGAAGACCGCAGAAAAAATTATTGCTGATGGATGACTTGCATAACCGTCGCCGATTTGAATTTTTCTTTGTTCTTACGTCGGTTCACAATTTAACGGTAGAAGGACCAAAATGTTGGGTTCGATAGTTCAGTGGAGATAAATAATTTAAGTGTGGACTGTATAATAAGTTTTATATGCAATAATTATCAGACTGTTACAATTACGGTTATAAGAAAGTGAATTTAAACAATATGGTAAGAAAGCGCGAGCGCAACCGTGCGTCCAGGCGTGCAACAGCTGACTGACGTATAGCGGGGCAGCGCGGGGCAGGTCGTTGCCGCCGCGCGCGCCTCCGTCCGTTGTCCCCTCCATCGCGCAGCGGAGGCCAATGAGTGCATGACTCAACAGGGCTTTTGGGTCAATACCACGTTGCAAATTCGCAGATAAAAGTCCTTTCATTGTGAGAGATGCATTGAGCGCATACTCTATCTACAAGTGTCTCGCTTGAGCACTAAAACTAAAATTCCGCTCAACAATTTTGAGAACTGTCGACTTCTTTTTCCCCCACCCTAGGAAGGAAATGTCATTGACTATGTCAAAATCCAGTAGCTCTCTACGACGCTCGAGTTGCTGCAAATTTATCATTCGTAGCTTTATAATATACCTTACCGCTTAGTGATCAAATAATCCGTGTATTTTTTTCAAAAACAATGCACATACAATAGTTTTTATATTCTCTTTTTTTTTAAAAGAATGCTCTCTAGCAGTAGTTTTTCATTGTTTTTAACATTAGTAAAACAATATTAGTTACGCTAATATACTGAAATTGGAGTGTTACCATGTATTATGTATGTTTGTATGTCTACTTACTAGACAGCGGGAGTGTGATGTGACTTTTTAAGTCCTGTTTTTTCCCAAAAGATATTTTGTTTTAACGTCGAAACAACAATATTTAATTAAAATGATAGCCATCGCTACACTGCCTCCTAATAAGCATGAAAACGGTAGCCCTTTTTGGGGCATCAATAATCAATAATACAATCTTAATTGTTGTTGAAATCAATTTTGCTATCACCACAGATCCTGGATATATCATCAAAGCCAGTGTCAGAAGCTGCGCTAACTGACATCAGTTCGGACGCTACCGGCCACGCTGCCTGCGACATAGACTACGATTGCGACCAATACGAGTGCGACAGCTGGGACGAGTGTGAGCAGGACAGCTTCTCTTAATCGCGCCTTTCACTCGCACCTTGACAATTGGGTATATAAGCTCCGCCTACTTTGAATTCTTTGGAAATACAAGCGTTGACCGTCTGTATTTGTCAGATAATTGTTAGACTGTGACATTACCGTATTGAAGGTAAATTGATGTGAATGTATGTAAACAAATTAACATAAAAGGAAGGTATATAAATCAATGGTAAATTGTTCAAACCGAACTTTGACATCATCGTTATTTCTTAGCGGTTAAAGTTGATTTTCAAATGTTATAAGTATATGCATTGAATAGAATATTCGGACGTAAAAAAGTAATCAAATTGTAATTTGTAATGACTAACTTAAAACGAAAACAAATCATTGCAATTTTTGCTACACCCTGTGTTTGAGACTTAATGTGGGCTATGGTGTTCATTGATAATCGTAAGATTGAAAGAATACTGAAATCGTATGAGACACAAGGTATAATGTTATTGTATGTATTTAAAATATTATGATTATAATTATTATGTATTACTGTATTAATTGTCGTTTATGTGTCAATGTCACGAAAATGATCTTTATTTCAATAAGTATTGTGTTCCTTTTTGTGTAAAGATAAACGTGAACCATGTTGTTAGGGTTGTGTCGAAATGTATAAAATAATATATTAAATACTATCCATTTATGCAAATTCAAGTAACTATCTTGCTAACTAACAAACTTAACCTATCAAACAAAATTTATTGCTGAACAGTAATAGCCGTAAATCTACCTTCCTTATATCCGCTGAGTAGTTCTTTAAATTCGAGCAAAAATGAGACCAAAATTCTAGATAGTCGTAGTTTGTCTTTGTAGTCATAAATTTAACTCTCTATAAAAATGCCTGATGAATTTTTAGTACGTAAATTAAATTAATATTTTTTGGTTAACACAATTAAAATCATTAAATAATATCATTAAATAATATCTTCCTCTGAGTCATAGACATTATCCGCTCTAGCATCCGTCAAATTCAATCCTCCCACTATAACATTATCCGGATATTCAATTATATCTTCTATCTCTTTCTACTTTTCTATTACGGGTGGTAGGTCATCAAACACAAATTTCGCGCACTCTAGCCACCTCTTTCCTAGCACCTTATGTTTCCCTTTGTTTTCAACTCTCGAACCTTATTGTCCTAGTACTGTAGAATATTCTATTTTTATTGCTGTATAAAAAACACTTCCAATAAAAACTTTGTTCTCCCACTTCTTTTATGGATGAGATATATAGAATCAACCTAAAGTTAACGACCTGTAGGCCAACCATAACGTGTTAATGAGTCAATGTTCCGGGCGAGAAAGATGGATTGATAGACATTGTATAGCTCCATTCCTCTTTCGTCAAGTCATGGTAGACCCTCTGATTTCCCAATATGGTTCTTGAGTTATTCTTCCTATTGTAAACTACAACTGCCTTACACTGTCTCGGATATGTACGTTTCGGTACAGATCCTTTCTTATGTTCCAAAGTAGAAAGTTTTTATAATAATATTTTAGGCCAAATAAACTTAATTGCTTCTGCTTTTTTTTAAATTCCTTCTCTTACTGCATTTAGATCACTACTATATATCTAACCGAACTTTTTTTTATTATGGATTGCCTCCACTGACTACCCTCCTTTTTCTCAGTTTCCAGTTTGCCATGTTGTATTTTGAAACTACTTCATCTTAACTCGAAAACAAGACATTTGGTTAGGTTTTCACACTACAATCAGGATCTTGCCTCCATACACGCTTGTGCATATGGGAATCTTCAATTCTATTGAGGTTGGAGGTATACGCCTATTTGACTCCCTTGTTTTCTCCATTCTACAGTTGAAAGTGCTAGTGGATATGTCTGATTTAATATCATTGTATAGTTCGTTCCATAATTAGAGACAACAATTTGACAACAGCAAATGTCAAACTACAAAATAATGTGGCCAGATTTTTTGACATAGTGATGGGCCCGAGTACGATGTTTTAAATAAAATACCGATACCGTTTTTTTATAAAATACTCTGAGCAAAATAAAACAAAGTTGCCGTGATATTTTTATAGTTTAGTGGAATTAATAATAATAATTTAAAATAAAAATATGAAATCCAAGACTGTCTAAAAGAAAAACATTAGATTTGAGGAACCTATGCTGAAAGCCGAGATGTTGGAGATTTCCCGGAAATAGAAGAGTAATTATGAACGATACGTCGTGGACTGATGGCTGCTAAAAGGTGGGTCACTATTTTACGGTTGCCTCCTTACCATTATGATTTTAACCCGACTGAGTTAGTATGGGCACAGGAAGGTACCAGGGAAAGTAGCTAAAAATAATAAAGCTTTTAAAATGCACGAAGTCCAGAATTTAATTTCGGTCTTTCGGTCAATACCGGTCGCAGGACTTCACTATTTATGAAATGGAAAAAACATGCAACACTCGAAATGTCAAATCGTTGTCTCTAATTATGGAACGAACTATAGTGACTAGAAAATTAGGTCTTTAGTGCATTTAGAGTTTCTTTCAATCAGTTTAGTGTCATACATTTTTCTCGTTTTAATAATGTCCAAACTCTTTTGTCTTTTTTTAAACATAATCATCGATACTTTCAACCGCTTCTATTTATTATTGCCATTGACATAATCTCAATTACATTATTGAATGTTAGGAATTGCATACATCACTTGTTCATATTGCAAGCACTTTGTGATTATACTATATTTGCTAATATTGCAATGTTTTATAAATAATGTAGATTTAATTGTTTACTATAAACAGATTCTATTGCATCGTCTCCTATTTCTCTTGATTTAAATAACATTTACGATTAATCACGTTCGCTTTTCTACCATGCTCGATAATTTTCGAGCTACACTGGGGCTTATACGCAGAAGTGCAAGTGCTACAAACAGCGTTGTGTAACCACTTTAATATTTATTATAAGAAAATCGTATATGTTATTTAAATTTAGTATGTCCCACGATGCATGGTTCTAATTACAAAAGAAAAATCTGATTGTAGAAAATAAGACTAGATACACTTTAAAGTAGTAAGTAAATAGCACTGGGCAGTCTTCCTATTGTTGACACTGATATATGTAAAATAGTTTATGATTAGGATTGCCGCCGCACTTGGCTGAACTTGCGTCCCAAAATGAGTTCATTTAAATCTATGTGCCTAGTGTAGCTGCTCCTTTATCCCCTGTTACACATTCCCATAAAGCCATACTTCTCTTCCATACTTATTCTTGTTCTTATAATTAAGTAAAGTACATTAAAAAAAAACTTTAAAAGCACTATTTTGGCTTACAACTTAGGTTACAAAGCCACTTAGTGCAATAAGCCAAAATCATATTTTTTTTATATGTATGTTGTAGTCAAGTACGGGTGTCTTGTGCCAGGAATACATCTGCATTATTTGACAAACACATTGTAGTTGTATTTAAGCACATGTCATGTAAATTAATATTTGACGTTATTAGTAAGATAGCTTATATAATTATATAGTTATTTAATATCCAGGAGTGTACAGTGAACTCTTATTGCAACACCGTATCTAATGCATTCCATTTTTGCCAAAATCAAAATAAACATTGCAATAAAACTTCATTGGGACACAACCAACTCTTATGACTAAAATTACCGAAAATCAGTATTAAGACAATACTTTAGATTTTTCTTACAGGCTAACTTCTAGTTTTTAGTATTATTAGAAGTCCTAAAAGAACCAAATTTATTCATATTATTTGAATAACATTGTAAATATCATGAAGTAAATGTTAACATATCTGTGTTGGGTTCAAATTTATAGATCTCCTGTGGTTTACTTGTAAAATTGTTACTGAAATTTCTCCAGTACAATTTTATATGTGAGTCCATGACCAGTATTTATTGATATAGTAAGGATTATATTTTTGTAGAATTTGATTTGTATTCTGTTGATTTCAAATGTAGTGATGATTATTTATGTCCGGTGCGTCCGTTTCTTACTTAGTGCCTTACAACGGACGACGGGTTACGTTGCTCGTGTAGGACGCTGTGACCACTCATCGTAAAATAAACGATATGAATTCCCAAACGTCTTTTAATTATATTCTTTTACAAATAACCGTACTAAAGGTACGACCAAAAACTTAAATGAAAGTGTGAGAAGGAAGTAAGTGATGAAATACCGTTTTATGGAGGAGAGTGGGAGAAAAACATTAATGATTTGAAATGATTTAAGTAGGAGAGTGGCATCCATATATTTATGAAATCTAATTATCTCTGAAAAATTTTTGCATAAGGTGGGTAGGTACTTCTTTATGTCTGCATACCTTCAACTAACTGTCAGTCAACAAATGTATTTGTTGATTTGAAACAAACTGTCGTGACCATGTAAAATAATGCAATCTGCATAAAAAAATAATAGAAAGTAGTCTGAATAGGTGTAAATAATTTAAATTACAGGCCTTTAATATTTCATATAATTTAAAAGAAACAAAACGTAATCTATTCTTAAGGCCGGCCGCAGACATACGGTTTCCGTATTAGGTTTCCGAATTCGTTTTCCGTATGCGGGCATCCGAATGCATAGATTCAATATAAAATACATTAACTGACGCACACGTTCGTTTTTTTTCCGTACGGAACAAAATCCGAACGTGTATTCCGAATGCAAGCCGGCGCGTTCGGAGAAACCTTACGGGAAAAAACCTAATGACGTCATGCGGAACGCAGCGCTTGCATACATTTTGTTTGTGCCGGCGCACACGTTCGGAAATTTCTATTCAGTTTTGCGCCCGCGGCGCGCGCATCGGACGTATTCTTTGTATTTGTTACGCATAGAATCGCAACACGATAATGTGTGAGGCAGAAACATTAATATTGGCTGTTGAAAAATACCCCTGCCTGTGGAATATTCATGACAATGACTATCACAACAAAGATGTCAAAGATTTGGCCTGGGAGAATGTATTTAAAGAGGTTATAAAGGATTGGGACACGTGCACTAAAGTGGACAAAGAAAACAAAGGTAAGATATTTTCTATATACTTTTTAATACAATAGTGCCCACATTTATTCTTGTAAATTATTAATTCTCTCGTTATATTGGTACGATATTTCCCCTGCCGGTGTCATAAAGTACTCAGCAAAATTGTCTCTTATGTTTCGACCTCGGTTTGTGGATCTGTGTTGTGGACTACGGTAAGGTATATCTTCGAAGTAATGTGTCAGAGTATCTTCAAATCGATAGCCGTCTCGTCTGCGTACAAAATTATGTAACACACACGCAGTCTTTGTTACTAATACTGCAAATTCTGGTGGAATCGTCATGCTAGTGTGAAAAATTCTCCATTTATTCGAGAGAATACCGAAGGCACATTCCACTACACGTCGTGATCTGCTGAGGCGGTAGTTAAAAATTCTGCGTTGGGTATTGAGATTACTTCTCGGATATGGTTTCATAAAATTGTTATTCAGTGGAAACGCTTCATCGCCAAGAAACACAAAAGGTAGTGGTGTGTCATTGGTATTCGGCAGAGGTTTTGCTTCAGGCATATTAAGACGATTTTGAATTAACTTTTTTCCAAAATTCCAGTTGTTAAAAATATTACTATCGCTGTCTCTGCCATAAGCACCGACATCTACAGCTATAAAACGGTAGTCAGAATCTACCACTGCTAATAGTACAACAGAGTAGAAATGTTTATAGTTATAAAAGGCAGATCCACTATGCAGAGGAGAAATCAAACGAATATGTTTCCCATCCACTGAACCTACGCAATTAGGGAAATTGGTTCTTCTATAATAATTTTCAGCAATTTCTAGCCAACGTTCTTTTGAAGATGGTGGCTTCATTTCCAAAGGTTGAAAAACTTCCCATATTGCTGTACAGGTTTCCTTAACTACGGCTGATACGGTCCTGCTCCCCATCAAATATTCAAAGTGTAACTCTT